GGTTTATTTTGATGTTTTTTAATTACTTTGTTTATTTGTTGCAGTGTGTAGCCATTTTGTTGTAGAGTGTTTTTTAATTCTTTGAGTTCGTTTTGAATGCTGTCTTTGTTGCATATAGTAAATGCTCTATAGATCAACGAGTTTATCACAGCTTGTTTTTGGGCTGGGTGATGATGTGATGCCGCGTGTAAATATCGATTGGTGTGGGTGGGTTTTCTATAGAATTGGTGGCCTAAAGAGCCGTCTGGTTTTCTTGTGACCAGAACATCTAAAAATGGAAGTTTACCATGTTGTTCTGTTTCTAATGTGAAGGTAATGTTTGGGTGTTGTTTATTGAAAAAGTCTAAAAAGTTATAGAGTTCTCTTTCCCCATGTTGCCAAATGACAAAGGTGTCATCTACGTACCGGTACCATGTTTGTGGCTTTAGTGGGGCTTTTTTGATGGCCTGGGATTCGAAGTGTTCCATAAATANGTTTGCTATGATTGGAGATATCGGTGATCCCATAGCTGCACCTGCGATTTGTTTATAGAATTGGTTATTGTAGGTGAAATAGGTTGTGGTCAGGCAATGTTCTACCAATGATATAAGGTCGGATGATAGTTGACCTGAAGATTTAATTATGTTAATGGTGTCATGGATTGGTACCTGCGCGTGAACAGGGACACAATATCAAAANTGACTAAGATGTCATTAGGTTGAAGTTTAATGTTTTTGATTTTAGAAATAAAGTCAGATGAGTTTTTTATCGTGGTGTCAGTTTGACCCGTGAGAGGTTCTAGTTTGCTGACCAGAAAGCGAGCTAGATCGTATGTAGGTGAGTTTATAGCGCTTACTATGGGTCTGAGAGGTATGTTGTTTTTATGGATTTTTGGTAGTCCATATAGTCTAGGTGGTACCGCGTTTCTGGGTATTAACATGTCTGGGAGATTGTTTTTCTTAATGAGATTGGTGGTGAAAGTTTTTAGTGAAGCAATAAAGTCTTTCTTAAGTTTTTCATATGTGGAGTCTGTAAGTAATGTCTGAATTTTAGTGTCATAATCTGTTTTATTCATGATCACTGTTGAATTGCCTTTATCTGCTGGAAGGATAATAATATCTGTGTCTTGATTTAATTGTTTCAAAGCACAGCGTTCAGATCTAGTAAGATTATGAGTTGGCAATTTTGATTTATTCAGTATGTTAGCCACTAGTCTGCGGATATTGTTAGCAGGTTCTTGGGGAAGAAAGTGTATGGTTGTTTCTATATGACTAATGATTGTCTATTTTGGGAGTTTTGTTGGGGCTACCGCGAAATTGTGGCCTTTGGCCAAGGCTGAGAACGTTTCGGCAGAAAAGGTTTTATTGGACAGATTTTTTACCGTGTTTAGTAGTGGACGAATGGTAGTTTCTTGTGGTGCTAATTTCTGATATTTTCTTATCTGTTGTTGAGATGAGTGCAGATGTATGCGTTCTGCTTGTTTGTATGTTATACGGTCTAGTATTAGCAGACTAGTATTAGTATAACCAGACGGCTCTTTAGGCCACCAAATCTATAGAAAACCCACCCACACCAATCGATATTTACACGCGGCATCACATCATCACCCAGCCCAAAAACAAGCTGTGATAAACTCGTTGATCTATAGAGCATTTACTATATGCAACAAAGACAGCATTCAAAACGAACTCAAAGAATTAAAAAACACTCTACAACAAAATGGCTACACACTGCAACAAATAAACAAAGTAATTAAAAAACATCAAAATAAACCTTCTACCACCTCTCAAAATACACCAGCACCAGAACAAACAACAAACTTAAAGAAACGAACCACTTACCTCCCATACATAAAAGGTGTCACAGATAAGATTGGCAGAATCCTGAACAAACACAACATACAAACGGTCTACAAACCACCGAATAAAATAGGACAGATTCTTAACAATCCAAAAGACAAAAGACCGCCATTAGACACACCAGGAGTGTACAAAAACCTTGTTCATGCGGTAAAGTATACATAGGTGAAACTGGTAGAATGATAAGTACACGACTAAAAGAACATCAGTCGGCAGTACGTCTAAAACATTACTCACAATCGGCATTAGCAGAACACCATTTGGAAACTGGTCACAAAATTATGTTTGACCAAACCCAAGTACTAAACAAAACTAGGGCTTACTTTCCTAGAAAATATACAGAATCTCTGGAGATATACAAACACATCCAAACAATCTCAATAGAGACAATGGACATATGACTAGTTCACTATGTGTTTATGGCATTCCATCTTGCCATAAACACATCCTCCCCTCCTTCTTACCATTCCATCCCTCCTCCACCACACCCCTTCCACTTCAACTTAGCGCTATAAAAAGGGACACCTGACCAAGAGCATCTCAGTATCAGGCTGCTCTTCAAACCCTGATGAAGTGAGCTGTAATGTTCACGAAACGTCGGTATAAAAATGACACTAACGCGGTTCAAACTCGAAAAAACATTTTTGTATGTTAATACTACACACCGCGAAAGCATCAAATATCAATTTAACTTAGAGTCAATTCGGTCATATGAAAAGATACTCGCTCTTCCTGTTCGGTCTGAAATTCGGTTGTGAGAATTAGATCTTCACGATCCGAACCATTCTCAATTTGACATTGATCTCGGCACGTAAATACAAGTGAACAGTGCGACTCGTGACAACTCCCATCGGAGGAGACAACCAATTCATCCCACCTGAATCCAGCTGACAGACTCCTGACTCTTGGGCGAAGCGAATCAATCACTCATCTCGACATTCTACTAAAACAATAAGTAGTGAGTACTTACTAATATAATAGTTTTGCAAAACAAATCTAAGATTTCCACGCACACAGTAAAATCTTCTTCGAGACGGTTGATATTCGGAAAAAAAGGATTAAATTCGACACTTCAATTAATAACTGCTTTATTTAGTAAATCCTTATCCTCGACATCTTAGCCAAACTAACGTTTTGCGGTGTCAAACCGAACTGCTGCTAGTCTTTTTCCGTCAGACTAGCTACTCACGATCCTGCGAATCGTTCAGGGCCGCTGCTGACTTTTCATTCCTGTCGGACTAGCAGCTCACGACCTTGTGTGTCGTTCCGGGCCGCTGCTGACTTTCATTTCTATCGGATTAGCGTTTCACGACGTCAGTTGTTCTGAACCGCTGCCGATTTTCAATCACTGTCGAACTTTGAGCAGTATCAAATCATATGTAGTTGTCATACCGCTCCGAAAATCAACCGTGATTCTAACAACGCGATATCCGAAACCGAACTTTGCGGCGGAGAACCGTTGCCTATAGAGCGAGCAAACCGAATTGTACCAACCCCCGTCTATCCGGCAATAGCCTAAATAGTAACGGTGCTCATTACGTATGGATTTAAAATATTGAAAATACTAACAGTGATGTTAATAACAAAAGCCCAGAATCAAACATAGTAATAATGCCAATGTATACTCAAATTCAAACCGAATTTCATCACACGTCTAATTATTTAATTCAACTTGCGTAAGAGTATTTTTCTATAAACTTAAACGTTAATACTTTGAATAAAATGATTTATATGCTCATAAGAATGAAAACGGCGTCAACTAATTAAACTTTGAATTTCTATCCTGAAAATTCATTCCTGTAATCTCATCACGTGATTACCAGGTCCTGTCCCAGGTAAATTAGATTCGTTTCTGAGACCTAAAAGAGGACCGACGAGTGAGAAGACGGTAGACAAGTAATATCGGCAAATCCGTTGACTTGACTACGTCGTTGAACAGTCTCGCTCGACTTGCATGCTTGTCTTATCTCATTAGGTCAGTGTGTTGAGATATAATACACAAAAGTGTCGTGTGTCAAGTTGCGTCCGTTAGGACTCGATCGTAACCGTAGGTCAAGACGTAACAGCCATAACTGTTAGAAATTCGGACATAAGAAAGCCGATTGTTTCTTACTCAAAGAAAAACAAAAAAATAAGAAGATACAAGGTGCGACTCTTTCTTGTATAATTCTGGTGAAGCCAATCTAGTTGTGAGTCCACAGGATTAGATTGCTGACAGCGGAGCTAGTTATCGCACGGCATTCAATCGAGAAGCATTCTGGTCAGTAGAGAGTAAGGAAACTGATGAGACAGGTGGCTTGATAGACAACAAAAGGCTTCCCGTTAAAGGCATCGGTGAAATAAAGGTAGAAGCTTGGAGTGATGGTCAGTGGAATATTATAACTATTAAAAATGTTTGCTGGATACCAGAATTGGATAAGAATCTGTTCAGTTTTAGGGCAGTAACGAACCATGACTATGAAATAGTAACAAGCAAGCAACAGATTAAGATAGTCCGAGGTAATAAAGTTTATGCATATGGTTTCTGAGATACAAATTTGTATAAAATGAAGTTCAGGCCAGTGTGGCCCTCGCAGGCATGCGTAACTCAAAAGATGTCACTAAAACTGTTACATGAAAGAATGGGACATGCAAGTGTGGATACTTTACAAAAAATGGTCAAGAATAATGCAGTATCAGGCATCGAACTCAGTGATGAAACGACGTTCTTTTGTGAAGCATGTCAATACGGCAAACATGCAAGAAGACCGTTTTGTTCAGCAATCCCGAAAGATGTGAAGGCAGGTGAGGTTGCTCACACAGACGTATGCGGTCCAATCAAAAAAACGGCACTGAATGGCTCCAAGTATTTTATGGTTTTGAAAGATGATACAACTGGTTTTCGAACTGTGTTCACACTACGTAATAAAGAAGAAGTTACCGAACAATTGATCGAATACTGTAATATGATAAAGACAAAGTTTCGATCAAAGATTAAAGTCATAAAATCAGATAACGGTCGAGAATTTGTCAACAGTTTTTTACTCAAACAATTCAAGAAGAAAGGAATTGTACATGAAACAACAGCTCTATATAATCCTGAACAAAACGGGAAAGCAGAGCGAAAAATTAGAACGTTGATGAAAACTGCGCGTTCAATGATGTTTGCAAGGAAAGTACCGAAATACCTGTGGAACGAAGCTGTGTTGACGACGGCTCAAATTTTAAATCACTACAGTAAAAGGCGTAGATAAAACGCCATTTGAGTTGTGGCATAAGAAAAAACCAGGTGCCGAAAGCATTGCGACGCAAGCTAGATAAAAAGGCAGTACGACGAATCTTCGTCAGATATCAAGGCGAATCGAATAATTATAAGCTGATTGATCCTGAAACGCGAAAATTCACTCATGCAACAAATGTAAAGTTTGATGATGAAATCGGAAGCTTTGAATTTGCAACAGTGACGATGGAAAATAGTACGGAAAATAATAATGAAGAAGCTGAAGATCAAACCTGTAAGGATAATGAAAATAAAATGATTAAAGAACCATTAAAGGAAGAAGAAGAAAAGTTGGACACAAACGAGACACGATGACGCTAAGACCACGTACAACATTGAAACCACCAAATAGGTATGGTCATGCAATGTTGGCAATTGAAAAGTCACAATCATATGCAGAAGCATTGTCATGTCCGGAGTCAGAACAGTGGAAGAAGGCGATCAATGAAGAAGTTGAATCGCATATAAAAACTTCTATGTGGTGCGAAGAAAAACTGTCATCAGATTGAAAAGCTATTAACTGTCGATGATTGTTCAAATTGAAACATACGCCAGGTGAAGAAGACCGCTTCAAAGCACGCTTGGTTGCAAAAAGATTAACACAACGCAAAAGCATAGATTATGACGAAATCTATGAACCAGTAGTTTGAGCAGATAGCTGCAGAATCTTATTTGCTAAAGCAGCAAAAGAAAATCTAGAGATGATGCAGTTTGATATTAAAACTGCTTTCGTGTATGAAGAATTACAAGAAAATATTTGGATTGAACTACCAAATGGTCCATGGAAAAAGAGGCATTACGTAAAGTTAAAGAGGAGTGTTTATGGATTAAAACAATCACCAAATCGTTGGAATCGTAAATTTGACACAGTATTACGCAGCTTCTCGATGAAAAGGACAGACGACTATATCTATATTGGACATAGAGGCAGTGATGTAAGATCTTGCAGGCACCAAG